CTGCCCGGGAAAAGCAGTGTCAGCATACACAGGTTTCATATTCCCTGAAACCAAATTAGGAAATCTAGAGACACCAAAAGAAGAAAGTAAAACTCACTGCTCGTCCAGAGAATGGGAACGGCTTGGTTTCCAGATGCCTGTGCAGCTGTGCGCCCATCTGCGTCCACTTCTCTGTGGTCAGCGGCACAGTGACCAGCCCGTCTGTGGGCGGGGGAGACTGTGGGTGTTTGGAGCCATCTGAGCCCCGTGTGTGGTCTTCACGTGCGCTCAGTGTTTACGTTTACATCCACTTCATGGTCAGCCCCTGTTCTAGGTTCTTATTTTTTGTTCCTTTGATGGGTCAGAGACAGAGAAACAGACTAAAAATCAGGTCCTTCGATTTTTCTTTGACTCTCCTGTTGTTGCTGCCTCACCGCGTGGATGCTATGCTATTTGGTGCATAGGTATTTATGTTTGTACAGCCCTACTATGTTTTGCTTATAAGTTTATAAGATCCGCTTCCTCGTGATGGTGCTCTGTCGCCTAGAGCTCACCTTGTCAGGTCATGGGGTTGCCAGTGCTGCCTCACTGACACTCACTGGGACTTGGGCAAGTCGCTTCATGTTTCAAGTCTCCATTTTGTATGAAGAGACCAGTTGTGTGTCACGAGTTGTGGGACGCACTGAGAGTGACGTGTGTGAACACCCCCTGCAGGGGGCCTTGCGTCACGTCGGGCTGGAGGGTTTCTGAGCAGATGCTTTACAGGGCCCCCGAGTGAGAGGCTGATCGCAGTGCCAGGAGGGACCTGCTACTTCCACCCGGCGGACAAGGGCTGTGGAGCTTGGAGGACAGAGGCAGGAAGCCCAGGGGACATTGCGGGCAACTTCTGAGGGCGGAGAAGCTGACACAGAGGCTGGCTGAAGAGGGCCGTCTGTTAGGGTAGTCCTAAGGCAGGGTGTGCGTTGATGGAGGGCATTGGGAGTCCATGTGTCCCCCACATGGACCCCCAATGGGAGGATGCAGATCAAGAAGAGGCTGGTGAGTCTGCAAGGCCAGATTCTGGTGGCCTTTGAATGTCAGTCAGCTTCAAGAGCCTGGAACCCCCATGGGGAACTACGGAGGATTTCAGCGTAGGGGCCGAGAGGCACTGCAGAGCCCATACCAGTTCATCCTGGCCTTGACGGGGGCAAGGCAGGGTGGTGGGCTGAGGGCGGGTGCTGCTGAGGACGTTAGCATGGAAGGAAGCTGGTGACTGACACGTGCAGGTGTCAGGCTGAGGGGCTGGCAGGCGGTACTATCACCTGCCATGAGGAGATCAGAGTAGCCTCCCTCCAAGGGAGGCCTGCAGACAGCACTCTCCCCCGAGGGCTAAGTACAGAACTTAGGTAAGGACAGATCTTAGGAACTTGAGTGACAATTTTCATAACTGCAGTTCCTGAGAGTATGACCCATTTTATTTTATTTATATATTTTTAAAGGCTAGAACTTTTTTTTTTTTTT